ATCTCTTTCATTTATTCATAGCTGCACCATTCTGCAATGACTCAGTTATGACATATCGTCCCTTAGTGCAACTTTTGTCAATAGGAAAAGAGTGGTAACTTAGTAGCGTTCCCATGCAATTACATATAAATTTACATGTTCCAGAGATCTGTATTGCATTAGAATGACATAATCCAAAAATAACCTTGCACCGAAACCTGGCTTCCTTCCCACTGTAAGATTTTACTGCTGATTCTGTGTACTCCAGATTCCAACTTCCATTTTCCAACTGTGGTACTAGGGAGTAATCAAACAAGTGACATCACCCTCATCAGCCAGCAAGGGTTCCAACACCTGGCTGAAGGTTCCATGACAGATCAGAGGGTGATGATAGATCTATCCTTTGTTCCATGGCAAGGTTTAAAGGTACATAAGACAGCAAACCCGTTGAAATGAAGCAAGTTTGGGGAACACTATGTAAGCCCAGGTGAATTTCATGACTGAAGAATGGAGGATATAAATATAACAAAATAAGCATATATTAATCAGCTTTAAGAGGCCTGATTTTGAAATCACTTTGCACATGTTGGGAGGAGTGGTCACCCACTAGCAAACAGAGCACAGTAAAATGTTCTGGGTCACATTTTAAGACAAAGAAGTTTGGACACACTATTATATCAGCCTTCAAACACACAATGTTATGGTGCTTGAGAATTTAACACATGCAATGTCTTTCAGATTATAAAAGCAATACCATGTTCAGGACTGTTTCCATTCCCTTCAATGAAACTATCCCCACTCTCCCCGAAATACCTTAACATTTTTATTCTGCCCAACAGAACTCTCTACATTCCATTATATTTTGTAGTCTATCCATGTCATTCTAGTCCTAGAAAAAAGTAAATCATTTAGAGGATCAGTATAAAATTGCATGGAAGTCTAGTGCCAACACAGAAGGTAAAACTGGAAGGCCTAGAATTCACAGCACCTTTTCTTGGTATGTGAAACAGAGATGAAAAACAGAAGCATCTTTTCAAATACGCTCTCTGATACTAGAATACTATCTTAATGCAACCCTTTACTCCCTGTCCTTTGCAGCTCTTAGAATATCCTACCTGTGGCTGAAATTGAGGAACAGGAGGGCCTGGCATTCCTTGGGATTGCTCGTCCATTGCTTCCAATCACACTTTTGAATGACCTGTATAAAATTCCATGCAATTAAACCTTATTATTGTGTGCAACCTTTCCTCTTATTATTTATATAGCACCATTATAATATACCACATAGACAGACTTTACAAAATAACACAAGCATAAGAGTGATACATAATTCACGGAGAGTGAGAGAACCCAGGCAAGAGTAAACAGGGAAACAGTGCAGTTACATGTATTTAAGGGTTATTTTCTATAGGGAAGGATGAAAAAATAAAGGTTTATTTAAAGAAAACTATTTAAGGAGTTTGGATGCTTATTTGTACAAGAGCCATTGCAGTACAGTAGCTAGTGTTGGACTGGTCAGAATGTTGGACTAGGAATGCAGAAACCCATGTTCAAGTCTCCACTCTGCCAGGAACCACGCTGGATGATCTTGGGGTAGTCATATATCCTAAGTTTGTTGGAGCTTGTTTTTTAAAGGCCATACTAAATGAATAAATAGTATGGCATGAATATATTCAGTGATTAAGGCCCTAATTAAGGGTAAATTTACAGATGAGTGTTCATCAATAGAAGACAAGATTAACACAGCACTTGGCATTGCATGCAAGAACAGACCATGGAATAGATCATGAGAGATTAAACATATACTTGGGACTAAACATGCATAGGATACTGTGTCAATCCCCAATTTTATGCATACTTTATTTCAAAGTTCTACTGAATGCAGAGGGTCTTTTACCCAAATCTCAGAAGGGGGATTGCACTATAAATGAATTGCTTTATTAACTTATAATACATGTTTAAAAATCTTTATCTTTGTCAAAGTTGTCCTTTTTAGTCACAAAGTATAATGTACATGAAGATCAGGAACCATATAAAAGCAAAAAATTATTGATTTACTTTTGCTGCTATAATTTTTCTCCCAACATTTGTTGCTTCAGTTCATGTAGGTTGAAACAGAATGAAACGTGAAAGCATTCTGATCAATATATAAAAACTAGCTGCAAAGAACAAGAAGCTTTCCTATAGATCCTTATTAAAACCGCACTAAAATGCAAATATATTTAACCTTGAAATACTGAAAGAAGACTACACAATTGGGAAATATTATCAAAAGGAAAGTGCTTCTAAGTCTGGTTGCATTTTTTTTTCAAATTTAAAACCCCTTCCTAAAGTTTTGGAGGCAGTATAAATCATTTTCTTCAAAAGTCAGTTTTATGCTTTCCATCTTTCCTGGAGTTTTTAAGCTGCTGAAATCCTTCAGAAGTAAAACAAATATCGATGTTTTCACGTCTTAACTCAAACCAAAAGCAAAGCTTTTCTCCAGAACTGTTGTTAAGGGCCTTCGCACTTTTCTTGAACA